CTTTCTATTTATATGCATCGTTTTTATTTAAGGCAACCAAATAATTGCTCCCTTAAATGCAGAAAACTATAAACTAAAGCAGGAGTTCCCAACCCTAGTGCTTGCGGAACGCCATCCTGCATGCTTTACATGTTTTCCTGCTTTGACACACCTGATTTGAATCAATGGGTGACTAACGGGCTTCTGCAGAACTTGAGGAAGTAATTAAATCACTGAATCAGGTGTGTTGGAGCAGGGAAACAACTAAAACATGCAGGATGGTGTTCCTCAAGGGCCATGGTTGGGAACCACAGAATGAAAGTAACAGTTCAATATTATGGTTATAGAAAATTATGTTTCGTGTTGACATTATTTTGCTTTTCAACTTGAAGGACTCTGATGTAAAATGACAAGATGTCGTAATCTGTGGTCACCAACTCAGGTAGTGTTTCTGAGCTACGAGCTGACGCGTCATCACAGATACTGAGCTGACGTTTGATGTGGTAGTAGCTGAGCTGAGCATAGTTCTAAACATACTCTGAGTGCTAACGGATCACAGCAGATTTCTAATACAAACTAATGGAGTAAACCATGCTAGTCTGTTAGCAAAATACCTCATGAGCAACTGAAAGGGGTTTAATGGAGAGTGATGCTCATTTCATCTTATTTTGTTCATCGTTTAAAAAACTGTTCACTCAGTGAGCGTCTCTGTGTGGACAGTTTCATCATGTCCAGCAACCTGCCCCCGTCTCTCGCACAGTGATGCTGGATATGGGCACCAGCGACCCCCCATGACCCAAAAAGGACGGAGCAGGTAAAGATAATGGATTGATGGGCATTTGTGATTTTATGTATTTTTAGCTGTCACGAAAACTGATCCACACATAAAGACTAGACGGTAACAGAGTTTCTTACAGCTCCTTCCATTTGTCTTGTTTTTATCTTAAATGAGTGCATTTTAATACATGAACACTTGTATTTATCTAAAGATATTACCGCCTTTTTTTGAAGAATTTGGACGACTTGTTATTAATGAAACATCTAATGTTAAGAAAATAGATCTAATGTCATTGAAAAGATGGAGCTGCACAATTCTTCCATTTTCAATCGCAGTAAATTTAGAAGAAATGGTTCGTGTTTGTTACGAAAAATGGAGGCAGATGGTGGAAAATAAAATGCAAAGCTCGCGCAGATCAATGAACAAAACTCTGAGTGTCGGGAAAAGTGATTGACAGAACTCTGAGACAAATTAAAGACATTGGCAGATGGTTGACAGCTGGCAGCACTCAGCCTTTTTCTACTTCTATTTGTTTGTGCTCGGAAATTCACGAAAATATAAGTTTAGCTGGTTGCCAGATCTATCCAAGCAAAATACTCACTTCTGCAAACTTTTCCAAGTAACTTTGTTTTCTAAATATTTGTGGATTCAGATGGAAGAAATACAAATGTCTGAAGATGAACTGGTCCATTCCCATAATAAATTTAATGAAAATAGCATTTCATGAATTTGTTAATTATTTAGTGCTGTATTAATAATAATTTTACCTGCAGGAAATAAATGAGTCATTTTAGAAACAGTTGGTCTTGATCTGTGGTCACTACCTATCAATAAAACTTTGGACTTCCTCCAGCTGTTTCAAATTAAAAGCATCCAAATTACAGAGGTGCATTTTGAAATATACGATTTAAGAACAACTTGCCTTTTAAAACTTCATCATGTTAATTCAGCAAAGTTGAGTCAGGTCATCTGGATGGTTTCTTTTTTTGTTGTTGTTGAGACGTTTCGACTTTCATCCAAAGGACTTCATCAATACGAGGAGCCACAAACAAACTCAGTTTTGAACCACTTTGGCTATGGCTGCCCAAGAGGAGTCAACGGGGGAGAGGGCGGGCTCCAGAAACAATCTTATCATCAGCAAACTGGTTGGTCCACTATGTGAGTGTGATGCTTGTGGGACTCAGTTAGTTGTGGCTCCTCGGACTGATGAAGTGCTTTGGATGAGGGACGAAATGTCTCCAAAAAAAAAAAAAAAAAAAGAAACTATCCAGATGACCTGACTGAACTTTGTTGGATTTTTTTTTACTTGGATTATTGAGCATGAACTTTGGTGTTCATCACGTTAAATTTGTTGGAATGACAAGATTTATTTGCAATATCTGCAAGACAAAACAGAAACATCAGTTTATTTTATTACAGGTAAACAAATAGAAATATCATCTGCATATACAGTAGTTAATATAAACAAACCTTGGGTTGCTCATTTCCATCTATTTTTTTATTTATTTAATATTAATAGAACCTAATTAATTGGACATTGTCAATATTATATTAGCTTTTTCATTTTTTGGTACTTTATTTTGTACCCTTATTGCATGCTTTAGTATTTGTTTTATTTTGTTTGTTTGTTTTTAGTGAGTCCAATAGGTTCTTCTCATCCTGAACATTTCATTGCTTTGTTGACCTTGTGTTAACCTGCATATGACAAATAACTTTTTTTTTCAAAATTGTTAATACAATTTTTTTTTTTAAATGTTGTATACAAATTATTAGCAAAAAATCAAGATGTGACTTTTAAATGAATGAGTTCAAATTTGTTAATAAAATCTGTTTTTTTAATTACGTAAAAAATAACTTATTGAAGGACACCATCTGTTTTGAGCAGGATAATTTAATGATCATGTCTGACAAGCCTATTTGCCTGAAAAAAAAAATAAATCAAATCAGAGGTTTTCCAGGAAGAGATAGGATTGTGCCAATAAATGTTTACTTTGTAAAATGTCTAAAAAACTAACTGTATTAAAAGCAACATTTAAAAAAATGGTCCAAATTAATCAGAATGGCCCAGTCTAAAATCTTTGCAACATTCAAACTGCTTTTGTTAAAATTGTATGTTTTTTTTTTCTCCGCCCATTTTTCTATTAACTCTGACCAGTTCCTGAGTAACCACTGGTAAGACCCATCCCACAGCATGATGCAGTCACCACCACTAAAACATGCAGGATGGTGTTCCTCAAGGGCCATGGTTGGGAACCACAGAATGAAAGTAACTGTTCAATATTATGGTTATAGAAAATTATGTTTCGTGTTGACATTATTTTGCTTTTCAACTTGAAGGACTCTGATGTAAAATGACAAGATGTCGTAATCTGTAGTCACCAACTCAGGCCAGACTGACATGGTTTGGACATGTCCAGAGGAGGGACAGTGGTTTGGACATGTCCAGAGGAGGGACAGTGGGTATACTATGAGGATGGTGTTTAATACATGATGGGAGGTTATGGACTTGCCTCAGACATGGTGATGTCCTTGACAGACTAGAAATTTGAGTTTGTATGTAAAAGTTTTAGATTTTCTTTAAGAAGTGGCTTTTTCCATCATGTCTGTGAGGATTGATGGAGAACCATTAAACTACCAAGTCCTTGGAACCGAGCTTGAAGTGACAAATGTGACTTCAAGTGTCAAAAAAAATGGGGTGAGCTCAATGGTTTTTTTTTTTCCTTTTTAATTATTACTTCTTGTTAGGTACTCATTATGAAATAGAAATATCTTGGTTACATCGGTCATTTTGTATTAGATCTAGAGGCCAGGCCGGAATCGTCGTGGACTATGATGTTTGCAGATGACCTTGTGATCTGTGGTGAGAACAGGGAACAGGTGGAAGAGAACTTGGAGAGGTGGAGGTATGCACTTGAAAGAAGAGGAATGAAAGTCATTCGTAGTAAGACAGAGTACATGTGTGAATGAGAGGGAGGCCGATGGAACAGTGAGGCTACAAGGAGCAGAGGTCACAAAAGTGCAGGGATTCAAGGACTTGGGGTCCACGGTCCAGGAAAATGGGAAGTGTGGTAAAGAGGTGAAGAGGAGAGTCCAGGCAGGATGGAGTGGGTGGAGAAAAGTTTCAGGAGTGATTTGTGATAAAAAGTGTGTCAGCAAAGGTCAAAGGAAAAGTTTACAAGACAGTGGTGAGACCAGCTATGTTGTATGGTCTGGAGACAGAGACATGGACAAAAAGACAGGAGACAAAACTGGAAGTGTCAGAAATGAAGATGTTGAAGTTCTCCTTAGGAGTGACAAGGATGGATAAGATTAAAAATGAGGTCATCAGAGGTACAGCACAGGTTGAACAACTGGGAGATAAAGTTAAGAGAGGCCAGACTGACATGGTTTGGACATGTCCAGAGGAGGGACAGTGGTTTGGACATGTCCAG